GTCTGCCGCTTCCACTTCCGCCGAGCCGGAGGCCACGGCAGCACTCGACACCGAACTGCGACCCTGCCGAAGAAACAGTGACGCCACCCAACGCTTTGATCGTATCCATGCCCAACACCCTACTAAATCCCAGAGGTCTGACAGTTACCACCAAAGCGCTGACGTCAGCGCGCTCGCCACACTCGAGCTCTACACACGCTGGCCCGCTACCCGCGTAGAGAAACCGGTTGCCGTCCACTTTGAGCACGCTAGCGCGTTCCTTCCGCTAGTCTCGACACAACGAGGCGTGCACGAGGCTACGGGAACAACCTGTGTCCACCAGCGCAATGCAGACGGATCCGTTAACGTGTAGTTGCCGCGTTGGGAGAGCACCAACGCCGACCACGGAGAGAAGACTGGCGCTCACGCCTCCCTTGTTTCCCGGGCAGCGGGCCGCTACGTGACCTTCTTGTCTACACCTGAAGCAGACGATGTCGCGCTGGCACCAGCGAGCCAGATGGCCGCGCTCGCCGCAGCGGAAGCAGGATGCCGGCTGCTGGGCGCGGCCGCCGCCGCGCGTTCCTTGGCGTGAGAAGCCGACCCCATTGTTCGGTACAGCTGCTGCGCCCGCCGTAGCCGCAGCGGCCGACGCCGCCGCTGCCGACCCCTCCGCGACCAGGGCGCGTGCCCGGCCCAGCACCTCAGTCAGGCCCAGGGCCTCGACACGCGCGCTGGCCCTCAGCGCGTGCCGCACGGTCTCTGGCAAGCCAGCTACGAAGGGGCAGATCAACTCCGTCTCAGACAAACCGCCAAACAGATTGGCCAGCCTGCGCAAGCCTGCAAGGAAGACGTCGACGACTTCGCCCTCTCTGAGACGCCTAGAGACGAATTTCTCGTATACGTCAAATTTGCCGACGGCGAAAGCCGTGATCAGGGCGTCGTTTACCTCGCCCGGCTTCTGCTTATCCTCATCGGAAAGTTGCTGGTACACGCTGAATGCCCCACCAGTGAGCCGGAGGGGAATCACGTTTCGCAGGTCGCTCACTCCTTTCAGTCTGCACACTAGGTCCACTTTATCGAGCCAGTCCACAACGGATTTCTGGCCATTGAACTCCGGAATGATTCTCAAGTCCAAATTCCCAGGTTCCGCCATCTTGAACGCATGTGCAGAAATAGCTTGTAAGAAGCAGCTAGCGGATCTCAAAAATGCTATGTATTTGAGCCACGCAGCACGTCACTCCTGCTGGCCTCCAACAGCGTACACAGCTCGGTACCCTGCCCTCCAAGCTACGCGCCCCCTCGCCGTTTCTCCCCCTTCCCCCCGACAATGCTCTCGCCAAAAACGTTTCTGCTTCCGCTGTTCCTCGCCCCTTGTGCCCAATTCGCCGCTTCCGCCGCGCACCAGATGAAGGTTTCCCTTCACAGTCAATTAGTGTTAGAAATTAGGTGAAAACACCCAGGAAAAAATTGTACAGCATGCAGTGAAAACTGGCCAACTCCGACGACAGCATCAATCACAGACATGTCCACTGCCCATGTACGCGCGGGCATGCAACCGCCTCAGGCATGTACCCGCATATGAACTCGTGCACAATTCGAATGGTTAGGTGTTAACACCTTTCGCTGAAATTTCATTTCAGCTTTGCATTCTGTTACGTGTGCCGTTCAGATGAGACTCTTTTCCGGTTGGCATCAGACAGCTCAAGTCGGCAGAGCTCTAAAGTTCAGTTCAGGCTGCGGCGGATTGTACGGTATGCCAACGCCCATAAACATTGACTGGCAATGGAGGCGATTGCGACGGTGTCATAGCCCGATCAGCCCGCGCTGTGGCCAGCGGGTCCAAAAGCGTGAACAGTGCGGCTTCCCCATCACCGCACTTAACACGGGGAGGAAGAAATTGAAAGGAGATACTTCAGATAGAGGCAGTACTCTCACGAAATGGGAGCGTGCATGCTTGTGCAATTCCCTGTTACTTGCGGTATGAATATGAATATGTATATGCTCTTCCTCTTCCCCCCTTCTATCCCTCTCTCTCTCTTTCTCTCTCTCTCCCTCTCTCTCTCTCTCTCCTCTCTCTCTCTCTCTCTTTCATTCAAATGGTGTCAATCCTACTCCATGTTGCTATGCTGCCGTACCTGATCCCTCATACCTAAAAGATGCTAAATGCCACTTCGTCAAGGCATGCCATCCCAAATGGTCATCATATAAAGGGCGCTACCACAAGTGCATTCTTCGGTTAGACACCGCATTGCGGGCATGGTACATTCACCAAGGCTCTTCTTCCCTAGGACTCCCTCTGTAGACTTAGGATTTCCGGAAACCCATGAGACAAAGTTCAACAGAATTAGATTTGGAGAGTGAACCACTCACGGTTCGTCCATGTTTCGGCTGAAGGTTTTCTCTGCGATGCAGTCCTCCAGCCAGATCAGGAACATTTTTTACGTATGGAGAGTCATACTGACACCGACACGCCCCGTCATACTGACATCATATGGAGAGCCATACTGACACCGACACGCCCCGTCATACTGACACCATATGTCCTCCATTTTTGACGTATGGAGAGTCATACTGACACCGACACGCCCCGTCATACTGACATCATATGGAGAGTCATACTGACACCAACACGCTCCGTCATACTGACACCATATGCCCTCTATTTCGTCCTCAGGGCCTCACTTCAGGTACCTCTAGAAGCGTTGTGGTGTACCGTAGCTTCATTCCTCTCTACCATGCAGCAGCAGTTTACTTTTACCGGGCTCGACCGTGCAGCCGTCAACACACTGGAAGAAGGCCCCACTGGAGCTCATGACGCCCCATCCTGTCAACTTCAGGCTGCTCAGGGGGCTGGGCTCACCAGCACGATGGCGGCGGCTGGTGTGAATGTTTACCACCACGTTTAGGTAAAAGTAGGCCTCGTCGTTGAACCGAATCCGGCTCAGAAACCCCCGCATTGCCTTGGTTTTCAGGCGGGTGACAAATGTCATCCGCTGTTGTTTATGACATGTTCCTAAAACACCTCTGGTCCGTCGTTTCTGGGGACCGCGCATTGACTCATTTTGATCACTCATTGCCATCATTCTCTAGGTCTGCTCTCTGTTTATTTTAGGTGTATCCTGTGGCAGTGGTTAGCAGAACTAAATGGTGATCGAATGCGCAAAACAAGAAGTGTGATACGTGGAAGCATCATGCGTCGAAAAGTTATCGCTGCAAGCCGTGCAAAAACCAATTGTCTATCACACGTCTCATCTTATTGGTTTATGTATGTGTGTCGAAGGCAGTCGGGCTCACAAAATGTGGGAGGACACAAATGTTCCGTACCGTGGCAGACAAAAACAAAACAAAAACAACAACAAAAAACAATACATGCACGGTGTGCATGTCGGCAGCAATTGCAAATGAGTGTGTCTGATGCGGCTACTGTCGGCCCAGCTCCCGCGACGCTGAGCGGGGGTCATACATGGACATAGTTGGGCCAGGTGGATCTACACCTGCACAGCTCAGGGTGGACCTTGCCGACACAGGTCAAGGTGGATCTAAGCCCGGACAGGTCAAGGTGGATCTAGGTCTGCACAGGTCAAGGTGGATCTAGGCCCACAAAGGTCAAGCTGGATCTAGGCCCGCACAGGTCTGGATGGAACTAAGCCCGCACAGGTTGAAGTAAATCTAGGCCCACATAGGTCAAGTCAAGCGGAACGTGAGCTCGCTTTGTCAGGTGCAGTCGTCAGACTGCGAGAGAACGCTACGAATGTGTCATGAAAACATACACACCTCCAGACTTCACACGCTTGTGCCCCACTGGCCAGAGTCATGCCTTATCGAGTCGTAAACAACGCAGTTATAAGCTGTTGCATTTTAAAGTAGCCTTGCAAACATGCATCTCGCAAAAAAACCATCATCCAAACGCTGTCTCTGCCCCATGATTCCTCTAATTCCGCGGCTGCAAGGAAGCGACGGACGTGAGTAACCTCACTCTTTTAAAGACGTCAAAAAGACCTTTGCGCAACCATTCCTAGCGCAAGGTTCGTTACCATAATCTCGCAGGGCCTCCAGTTCCCGCCTGAGGTGACAGGTGCGCTCAGCATTGAGGCTACGCTCCGGCTTGTGACACAAAAAACACATGAACAACGAAAAAGAAATCCGACTGGCATCCTTCCACGGCGTCTATTCGATCAATGCTAAGAAAACTGTCGTAGTTTTCTCCATCCTAAAACAAGTCCAAAAACATTGACAAGGGAACGATCATACAACACCGGGCATTCGGCGTAACTTCCCACTTCCTGGCATCCACGCGAGCATGGCCCGAGAGTTCCGCAACACTGCGTCCACTGAGACCTTCCGAGAACCATCGACACTGCACCTACTGGGACCTTCCGAGAACCATCGACGCTGCACCTACTGGGACCTTCTGAGAACCATCAACGGACGTCAGTGGCTCCATGAAGCGCAGGAGGCCACTCGATGGTCACCTCTGAACCTGAGTCAAGCGGGGCGAGAGAGGCGGTTCTCTCTGGATGACATCACCGGTACGTACTATTTTCGACAGCATGGTATGAGTCGCAGAGCATGCCTTGTTATAGACCCATAGAACTAAACAAAATCACTGTAGGTTTGATAGGTCAACAAAGCACGACAACACAAAGCAAGCGTCTGTCCACATCCGTGCGAACGCGTCTGTCTTGTCCAGTCTTAACACAACTGGCGTGCTGGCTGTAGCCGGTCCCAAGCCGACGTCCCTGAAGTTGGCCGCTGCCTGACGTCACATTATCGCTGACGCCTGGTGAGCGGCAGGCACCCGCCCACCAGACCCCCCGGGCGGCCAGGCAGCCCCTCCCCTCCCCGGACATGAGGTCGGCGCACACGCCACGGCGTGACGTGCCGCGTGCTATCGGCGTGGCCGTCAGCTGGCGGGCCGGCCGACGGCGCCGGCCGCTCCGGAGCCGGTCAGCTGACCGGCCCGTGGGCGTCAGCTGACCGGCTCGGCGGCCGCCGGACACGGCGCCGCGCCGGGCGCCCCTCCGATCGCCGCAGGGCGCCGAGGGTCGGTCACCGGTTGACGCCAGCTGACTGCTCCTGGCAGGCTCAGGTAACGTCTTGCTCTGCTGGGTCAGATGACGCTGTGGGCTGCCGTCAGCCGGTGTCGGTTTCCTTCCGTTCTGCGTTGGTAAGCTTCAGCCATTGCCTCAGGCGTACACGATGGCTTACCACGCGGTCCCCTGTCCTGTCTGAACGGCGTCTGGCCTCTCCATTGACTGGTCTAGCCGGCGTCTGTCTGGTCCACTTCTCCGCTTCTGCGCTACTGTACGGTGTTGTCTACTTCCGCACAGTATTGTGTGCTGGCATATCTGGTCGCACGTCGCTTCAGCGCTGTCGTGTTTCTTCCGGTTCGTCTCGTCTGTTTTCTTGTCCTTTCCACCCAAAAAAATCCTCCAGACCGCTGTCTCAACCAGTCTGACCGTTGTCACAACCAATCTGTCCGATGGTCTTCTGAAACTGTGTCCTACTCTGTCATGTATTTCGTCTGGCCAGTCTGTCTACCCCAATTAGCTGGTTCTACCTTTCTGTTTTGCTTGGTCAGCCGTCAGTTTCATCCGTAGTCCTCTCTCGTCAGTTTCCTTGCGCATTTCTGCTAACCTACGCCGTTTGGTTTGCTGTCCTGCTGCGATCTGACGTCTGCTCTGCAGCCGTGCCCACTGCCGTCCCACTCTGTCCAGTTCGTAGGCCGCAACTCACGCGCTCCCCCGCGGTCGCTCTGTCGTCCGCGCTCATTCGTCTTCGTCGTGCAGCTGGTAGATGGCAGGCGGAGCGGTGTTACCGATAGATGGCGGGTGGAGCGTCAGCTAGACAGCGTTGCCGATGTACTTGGCCAGTGCGCGGTAGACGCTGTTGGCGGTGAGCGGGCACTTGGCGTAGGTCGTGGCGCAGTTGGCGCCTGATCGGCCCGCCTTAGTAGCCTCCTGTAGCGACGTCCCGTCCAACCACGAGTTGATGTACGAGTTGCTGTGGAGCGGAAAACGGCGGGTCGGTGAGGACACGCACAGCTGCCACCACTCATCAACCAAAGGCTATGACAAAAAAATATGTAGAGTGAGGCAATACACGAATCAGATAACACGCATAGATGTCTAATTAAGTAATTAGAAACCCAGCAGGACCAACTTTGCTGCGCCGTGAATACTGTCTCCCCAACGGCCCTGATTTATGCACTTCTCGCACAACTCCTTCCAGCTCCCAAGTCGTGGGTCCTGCTCTCCCGGTTGTTCCCCGTCGCAAAACAGTCCTGGCAATGCCGTCCAGCCGTCCCGTCACACCACTGACCTGGCAATGCCGTCCAGCCGTCCCCGTCACACCACTGACCTGGTGATACCGTCCAGCCGTCCCCGTCATACCACTGCCCTGGCGATACCGTCCAGCCGTCCCCGTCACACCACTGCCCTGGCAATGCCGTTCAGCCGTCCCCGTCACACCACTGACCTGGCAATGCCGTCCAGCCGTCCCCGTCACACCACTGACCTGGTGATACCGTCCAGCCGTCCCCGTCACACCACTGCCCTGGCAATGCCGTCCAGCCGTCCCCGTCGCACCACTGCCCTGGCGATACCGTCCAGCCGTCCCCGTCACACCACTGACCTGGCGATACCGTCCAGCCGTCCCCGTCACACCACTGCCCTGGCAATGCCGTCCAGCCGTCCCCGTCACACCACTGACCTGGCGATGCCGTCCAGGATGAGGTCCTTGGAGCCGGCGCGACCCTCCTTGACGCTGGTGGCCGCCTCGCGCACGTACGTGCACACGCCGCGCTGCATGCAGGCGGTGGAGTCGATGTCGTATTTCTGCAGGGCCTCGTCTAGCCGGGCCATCAGGGTGGGCGCCTCCGCGTCACCGCCTGCCGCGTGACGTCACAGGTGCCAGCTTAGAACGGGCAGATGAAGCCGTCCGGATATGTGAGGAGCCATTACATGGACGGGGGCTCAAACAACAATGGAGACGTGTAGCTAGAGCGAACAGCGCGGTTGAACTCGACGGGCAGAGAAAGACAGACAGAGATAGACAAAGAAACGACAGATATATTTACTCATACAGGTTTACTTCATGGGGACAAATGCGTGCGTGCAGTATGTACAGAGTGCCGATGCGAGGCAATGTAGCCCTGAATCGCCCGCACCAATTTCAACTGTGGCGCCCGGGAGCGTTCGGTCACAGCGTTACGCTTGCCATCCTGTCTGGTGGAATGTCGGCGTCACCAGCCGGCGAAGTCGATGTCAGCGTCACCAGCCGGCGGAGTCGATGTCAGCGTCACCAGCCGGCGGAAGGCCGCCTGCAGTTCTAGTCGCCCGTGAGCAGAGTCCAGCACCGAACCAAACGCCGGGACTGGCGTAACCCTGTCCCACGTGTGCACTCAGACCGGCCGGACGTCGCTGAGGTCAAACGTCATCGCCGTTCGTCGCGCCATGCACCGGGGACCCGTCCTTGCAGCGTGTGGCGACAGCCGTCAAGCGGCATTCGAGGAGCCGTTCCGCAGAATAGGTCAGGTCACAGGTCAAACCCAGTCCGCCGTGGGCTACGGCTACCAACGCCCCATGTCCATTGTCCACGCGGTCCCCCGAAGCAGCTGCCTCACAGAAGTCGCCACGGTCAGAGAAAAACAACAGCTGTAATCACAGTTTCCCAACAATTCCCTCGATACGGAAACGAGAGCGATTGTGCAACGAGGGAACGTCTCTCCATTGTCGACACCATTTTGTGCCGGCTCGAGCCCAACGGACGCGGCCGGGCGGCGCCGAGAGGGCGACAAAACAGGCGCGCCGCGCGGCCGGGTCACGCGACGCGGCCCGCGGCCACGACACGTGACCGCCGCCGGCTCCATTGGCGGAACTGAGCGGGCGGCACCGGACAACAATGGCCGACAGCGCCCTCGAAAGTGAAAGGGGCGGCGCCGGCGCCTGCCGCGTGACCGCGGGGCGGGCGCCGACCGGCCGTGTGCCCCGCGGCGACAGCTGGGGAGTGACGGTCAGCGGCCAGGCGGCCCGGCGCCGGACCACGCACCGGCTGTCGCTGACGTCACCGCCGCGCACAAAACACCGGTGCGGAGCGCACGCCAGCGTCACGAGGGCCGCGCCGTTACCGTCTCGTTAGCACGTCGTCACTATGGGTCGGGGATGTCGGGCATGCAGCACACGAGAACGTGTCAAGGTGTGTTCATGTCCCTGTCACCCGTGCAGCTGATCTGTAGATCTCAAAAGGTGTAGGGGATGACGACAGCTCGCAACATGACGGATGTTCCTGTCCTTGCTCGCCACCCGTGCAGTTGATCTGTAGAGCCCTAGGAGTGCAGGGTATGGCGACAGCTCGCGACAAGACAGGCTTAAGTACAAGAGCATCTCGCAAAGTGCTACCAGAAGACATATTTCCTGCGACGTGGGGGACAGGAACCAGTGCAACAGAGATCACTTGGCCCAAATTCCTGGAAACTCTGCACACCCGACAGGGCCGACGACGGAGATTGTACATGTTAGATTTGCCCCATGAATTCTACTGATTGTTGTTTTGTTGACAGCATCCAGACCCAACATCAACATCAACGTCTGCAACTTGCTGGAGCAGACACTTCCACGGGCTCGGTGAAATCATGGTAGATGTATATTAAAAATAATGGGTAATGGACTAGGCTGGGGAGCTGTTAGAGCAATTAACGGGTGTAGGGCACGATTATGAATACGGCTATGCGCACGGGCTTCCAGAACTAACGCGTAAATACCTCGAGAAATGACGCAAGATATTACTCGGCGCGCTTTTTCGGTCATAGCTGCCCTCACGTGATCTTCGAAGTTATCAAAATAGAAAGAGCAAATCTATATTAAAGCACCCGTAATCTTCTTCACAATCTACAACGGAAGCCTGGCGGTTGGATGTGGTGGTGACCAAAATCCCTCACCTAACAAGTGCGGCTCGGCAAACAAAACGCTTAGGGTTTTGTTTGCAGAACGTCTCTACTCCAAAGCACTGCCCCAATGATATTTTACCACGACCTATGCCAATAGGACGCCGGTGGCAGCGTCTGTAGCTGCCAAATGCGGATTATGTCGGATGTCAGCTGCTCCAAAATGGTAGATAAGAGACAGACTATGCTGGCATGAGCGATGGGGCTGCCAGCGTAACAGACGACGCTGCGCTACTTCCAGAGCCTTGGCATACATGGACCGGCCGTCCAGCTGTACAGCCAGTACAGCTCGTCCCAGGAGGCTTCGGCCCGAGCCCGTCCAACTGTACAGGCAGTCCAGCTCGTCCCAGGAGGCGCCGGCCCGGACCCGTCCACCTGTATAGCCAGTCCAGCTCGTCCCAGGAGGCTCCGGCCCGAGCCCGTCCAGCTGTACAGGCGGCCCGGTTCGTCCCAGGAGGCTCCGGCCCGAGCCCGTCCACCTGTATAGCCAGTCCAGCTCGTCCCAGGAGGCTCCGGCCCGAGCCCGTCCAGCTGTACAGGCGGCCCGGTTCGTCCCAGGAGGCTCCGGCCCGAGCCCGTCCAGCTGTACAGGCGGCCCGGTTCGTCCCAGGAGGCTCCGGCCCGAGCCCGTCCACCTGTATAGCCAGTCCAGCTCGTCCCAGGAGGCTCCGGCCCGAGCCCGTCCAGCTGTACAGGCGGCCCGGTTCGTCCCAGGAGGCTCCGGCCCGAGCCCGTCCAGCTGTATAGCCAGTCCAGCTCGTCCCAGGAGGCTCCGGCCCGAGCCCGTCCAGCTGTACAGGCGGCCCGGTTCGTCCCAGGAGGCTCCGGCCCGAGCCCGTCCACCTGTATAGCCAGTCCAGCTCGTCCCAGGAGGCTCCGGCCCGAGCCCGTCCAGCTGTACAGGCGGCCCGGTTCGTCCCAGGAGGCTCCGGCCCGAGCCCGTCCAGGTGTATAGCCAGTCCAGCTCGTCCCAGGAGGCTCCGGCCCGAGCCCGTCCACCTGTACAGCCAGTCCAGCTCGAGCCCGCCCAGTCCGCCGCCCCACTCACCGTCGTCGGCCCTGCCGTAGTTGCTGAGGTTGAGGTAGCTGGGCAGGTTGCCGCCCGACACCTTGGAGGCCAGCCAGGGGATGATAACGACAGCAGCGAGCAGCACCACGCCCAGTGCCACCAGACTGGGCCAGTTGACCTGCAGTAGCGACGACCAGTCCGTGTACTGGCCGAGCAGCGAGCCGAGGGGCACCGACAGGAAGGGCACCGTGAAATGGAGCCCCAGCTGTGGACAGAGCAGCACAAAGGCCGTGTGAGCCCGCCGCGCCCCAGACAGACTTCCCGTGAGCTGCGGACGGGGCGGGGGTGGGGGTGGGGGTAAGGGGGGGGGAGCACCAGCGTGCTGTCCTGATGACGGCGAGAAGACGGCGACACCGAGTAGGCGCCCGCAGTCGATGCAGGAGGGAGCCAGGGAACGGCAGAGCGGAGGCCGAGGATCGGAGCGCCGGGAGACGGAGTGCAGGAGGAGGAAGGAAGGAACCAGGGGAGGGCTGGGCGGAGATCCAGGATCACAGCGCAGTGAGATGGACTGCAGGACGAGGAAGGAAGGGATGAGGGATGGGCAGAGCTAGACCGGTTATGTTGAGGGCTGCCCAGGGTGGCCGTGAAGAATATATAAATCGGATCGCGACTGAGAAGGAACTCCCATGGCAATGAAGGACAGCTGCGTTCTAAGAGTCGCTTCTTATGAAGAAGGAGACAAGGGCAAGCGAAGGAGGAGACGCAGGGCCTCAGGAGGCGGTGCGCGGGAGTTGGGCCCGATGGATAGCAGCTGCAAGCGGTGCTCGGTGTCCAGGCAGCGTGCTCGGCCCGCTCAGCCCGGGCCATGACGGCCGTACCGGCCGCTGCGGCGCCGACCTCCCCCGAGCGGCGCGGGCCGAAGGAAGGCAGCGTGCTCGGCCGGCTTCGTCCGGGCCATGCCGGCGTACCGGCCGTTGCGGCGCCGACCTCCCCCGAGCGGCGTAGGCCGAAGGAAGGCAACTCGGCCGCCAGGTCGTCCAGCAGCAAACGACGCAGGATGCGCAGCAGCTCGACTAGCGCGATCAGCGCCGAGCCCAGTAGCGACAGCTTGCCCAGCAGCTTGGGCGTCAGCAGCCGGTGCGTCAGCCGGCGCAGCGCGTCCAGCAGCCGGCACCAGGGCTTGCCGGCCCCTGGTGCTTTGAGTCGCCCCGGCCGCAGAGCCCGGCTCTGACCCCGCCGCCGGCTGGAGGCGCTCTGGCCGTGGTCTGACGCCATCTGAAGTGGAGTTGGCGCCAGCGCTGAGGGTCGTATATCCTGCTGCCGTGATGTCTTCCAGCCAAGGGACGCTGATGAGCCTTGTGCTAGACAGAGCCTGCCCTCAGCGTTGTCCAGGCGCACATGGTCACACCCATAAGCGCTGTCAACAGCGCTTTAAGACAACATGCGTAAAATGTGTTTTTGAATTAAGGGAAAAGTATCTTTCGGTGAGCATGCATGAGAACCAAATAAAGGAATACGAAAGTAAATAACCCGATTATTCAGCGGCGCCAAGAGACAAGACGTTTTTTTTCTCAATAAAGCAGCGTGTGGGGCCAAAGCCCTGCTCTCGAGATCATACAAAGGAATCACACGCCAGTGCCGGTCTACAACAGGACGTGCCTCGGGTTAAGGCCCCACCTTTCGTTCCTCACCGACTATCGAGCTGCACCTATTCAGGACAGTGTTTGTGTATGAGCACAATCCAAGACATGCTGTAATGATCGCAGGGTGACATTTAAGACTTTGCGATGCGCGTAGCGACATTTAAGGGTCACATTTATATCCAATCTATCAGCACGCAACTTAGTATGAAAAGGCGATGCCGGCCCGAATTCGGCTCTTTACTATCCTGTTGCGTGCTATTTATGGGCGTCATGCATCAGCGACAGCAAAAATCGCAGCAGCAGCGGAAAATCAGTGCAACGAGTTTATGCAACTCGGCACATCTAGAAACATTCGCGCATGCGCAGCGCCGGCGCCCGTCTCCGCCCCGGCGAAAGCGGCGGGGGCCTACCTGCAGATCCTGGTTGGTTGTGGACAGGCCAAAGAAGCGTGCCGTCTCATTGCCCCGCACGGAGGTGGCTGTCTCGGCGCCATCCTCCAGGTACGGACTGTAGTCAGTCTGTCGGCACAGCACGGCTGGTCTCAGCAGCCGGGCCACCGGTGGCGCTGGCGCACTCGACCCGGCTCTTCAGACGGCCCTGTCTCTAGCGCAGGGCTCTCTAGCGCAGAGGTCTCAGAGCCCAGGCAAGTGCAGCGCAGCAGGCAAGATCAGCAAGCTCGGTGCTAGTGAATCAGGCTCAGAAAGTCTGATTGCCTTGTGACTCTTCTGAAAGCCATGGTTCTGCCTGTCGCCCGATGGTACTGGACAATGCCAATACCGTACGAAATGCAGAAAATTAACTCCACAAATGCTTAACAGGGACGAAAATTGCGCCTTTTCGTCGATACCCAAAAAGGAAGTGTTTGCAATCAGAGAGAGGCGGCCTCTGACCTCGATTCTGCTGGGGGCCTCCGTGTACACTGGGATTGGGGAAGAAGATTTGCTCCCCTGGTCCTTCACAAAACCGGCGGCGCCGGCACGCGGGTGGTTGGCATACTTCTGAGCGTAGTACTCGGCGCTGAAAAATGACACCAACACGTCACCCAGGTCCGGGAATTTCAATTACACCATTACGCCTAGCCTAACTACCATGGGTTGCCAGGTAGCTTAGGCATAAGCTGCAATAACAACACTTTGTTATGCCTACATAAGAAACGTCCAAGTCAACGTCCAAGGCTGCAAGGCTAGAACGGATAGCAGTGCCATATACGTGACGACAACGTTCGATAGTTCGAATAGTGCCATATACGTGACGACTTACCTCAGATGACGGGTGCATTTGCCCTCGGATTGAGGATGTTAGTTGACCGCCACACCCGCACCGAATCATGATGTAATACTTCCCAGCACAATTTGTGCCGAACACACACACACACACACACACACACACACACACACACACACACACACACACACACACACACACACACACACACACACACACACACACACACACACACACACACACACACACACACACACACACACACACACACACACACACACACACACACACACACACACACACACACACACACATACGCACACACACACACACACACACACACACACACACACACACACACACACACACACACACACACACACACATACGCACACACACGCGCACACACACGGGTCGCCGCCTCATCTCCACAAGCGATACCAAGAACACCACGCGTCTCAGTGGGACTTACCGCTGGTCGCCCATCTTGGCTGAGCGCGGTATCTGCTGGCTGATGAGGGGGTTGGCCGTCGCCTCCGCGCTGACCTGGCGTGCTAGCGCCAGCAGACCCAACGCGGCTAACAGACGCATCTTGGCAGTGAAAATGAAATAGGCTGCGACGACGTTAGAAACTGAAAGGCAGCGAACGGTGGCTTAGAATGCAGCTGGCTACTGTGCGATAGTGGTGGCAAACTTATCTACCCCTCCCTGCTTTCTCAAACGCGTTTGATTATTCAAGCTGTTAAATTGCTGGGTACATCATACAATTGTAACTAGACGATGGAGGCACCACGAGAAGCCCAGCAGTCAGACGACTCTCCATACGACGCTGAGCTCTGAGCCGATAGGCTGCCCGGTTTGTCACCAGCAGTCAGACGACTCTACATACGACGCTGAGTTCTGAGCCGATAGGCTGCCCGGTTTGTCACCAGCAGTCAGACGACTCTACATACGACGCTGAGTTCTGAGCCGATAGGCTGCCCGGTTTGTCACCAGCAGTCAGACGACTCTACATACGACGCTGAGTTCTGAGCCGATAGGCTGCCCGGTTTGTCACCAGCAGTCAGACGACTCTACATACGACGCTGAGCTCTGAGCCGATAGGCTGCCCGGTTTGTCATATCCTTGACGCAATTTCACTCCCTGCTAGCTAGCCCTGGCCCCCCTGACCACCCCTCCATAAAATGGATCGATTCTGAGCTATTTAAGTAATTCATATATTAATATGAATTGAATGGACATGCTACGAAATAGCACCTTATTACACCGCATCGGAATTACTAACTATGACGGGGTCAGAAATTGTCAAAGAATATATTATTTATATTGTAAATACCGTTATACGAAATTTTAGGTTAAATACAATTTTATTTTGAACAGGACTGACGTGCGACAGCTTCATTCAGATTATTTTAGGAAATATTTCGTCACGCTGAGTTGGAATCGATTGCATCCCAGATTTGTGACAAGGCGGATTGGCAAATACATTCGATTTTACACAGGAAGATCCGATTGGTCCGGCTACAGCAACAGTCGCACGTGACGACCTCTGCCGCCTGGTGTCGGCACCACTCACCGATCTGTCCTGCGCGTACCCGGCGGCGCAGACAATGCCCGAATGTCCTGCGTGTGTGCCCGGGGGACGCGCTCTGACCTGGCCCGCGGCAGAATGGTCGGCCGGCCGGCCCGCCCCGCCTATATCAACGCGGTTCGGCTCGGCCGACGCGCCACCTTTCCATTTCGGCGCCATTGTTCGAGGTCGAGCCGGACTCTTCTCTGATGTCACAGGTGTGCTAACGTCACGAGCCGGCGGCGCAGCCAGTGGTGCGCGCCGGCACTGGTCCTGGCCAGGACAGTACCGGTCCTGCCCGGCCGGGTGAGCCGAGCCCCCCTCCCCCACACACGCACCCTGGCAGGGTGATGGTGTCCGCCCTGACAGGGTAAGCCTGCCCGTCCTCATGGCAGGATAATCCAAGCCATTCCGGACGGGGTGAACCGAGCCCTCTTCTGACAAGGTAAACTGAGGCCCCCCCCCCCCCCCCTGGCAGGGCAAACCAAGACCTCCCCTGATAGGATGAACCGAGACCTGCTCTAATAGGGTAAACCGAGACCACCCACGAAAGGGTAAATCGAGATCTCCCCTGACGGGGGAGACCGAGTACTCCCTGACAGGATAAACAGACCTCCTTGACCGGGTAAGCCGAGACCGCCCCTAACAGGGAAAACCGAGGCATCCCTGACAGGATGGGCAGAGTACTCCCTGACGTGATGAACTTCCCCCGCACTGACGTGAAAGGCCATTTTTGCTGCTGAAAAGGTGAGCCGCCTCTCCCCTGACATAGTGAGCTAGGTCCTCCCTGACAGCTCGTGCTTCTGTCATCTCCGACAGGACACGAACAGCGTTTTCCCTGATAAAGTGCTTAAAAACCATGTCTTATATGGCAGCTCGCGATCAGTATGCTTGACTTTCCACTGGATAGTTTTGCTATGTTTTGATAAAATTGCTTGCGACTGTCATTCGATTCCGCTTCTCAAAACTTTTGTACCGAGCATTTGGTACGTGGAAGGAGATCACTCTCAACATCCGATTTCGATGTAGAAGCTACTAACACGCAACCCACGCAATATCCGACTAAGAGCCATCGATACAGAAGTGCAACCTTCGGACGCCCGTATTTATAATTACCGAGAATGGATAATGCTTAACCCTAACTCTAAATGAGGGGCGTCCATGCAGCCCCTTAGCTTTGTGAAGATAACGCTCTGGCATGCTGCGCAATTGCGCCGAAATTTTCAGCAGTCTATAAGACACTCATTTGGCGTCTTTTGAAACCAAAAATGTGTTTCTAGCTCTTCTGGTTTCGGAGCAGTGGAGGTTGGCAGAGGAAGACCGCACGGCCATCCCGAACCGGTGCTGACGGACCCGCGGCGACCGACGGTGCCGTGGAACGCACGCGCCGGGACAACATTGTTACATTAATGGAGCTATATACCATAATGTAATGCTCAAGACGCATAATAACATGCATCACTGTACTCAGATTGAGTAAGGAACGTGCGTTTTTAGGCTTCGTGTCGCCAAGTGGCATGGTTTTGCAGGTTGGATGTAAAGCTGAAAACGCGCCATTTCCTGGAAAATTCGACCTTACCCTGCCATGATGGGGTTAATCATTGTTTGAATACCAGAAAAACTAGCACTAATCACAAGTCATCGTTGGAACAAATCTATTGGTGTTTTCCGTCAAGCTCTATCTTCATTACCTTGGAAACGGCAGTGGGAGGGGGGGGGGGGGGAGGAGGGAGGAGCCCGCATCAAGACCACCGATCAGTCCGCGTTGTGGAAAACGGCGAATCAGGGCGGCGGCTAAGGGCACTGGGTTAACCGAAAAAATGTATTCGAATTTAGTGCAAAGAATGTTGCGGAATGCTATCCTGGCACACGTTCAAAAGCATATCACCCAGATATCAGGATAAAGTTTCTAGAATCTGGTGTTAAAAGGTCTGTTTGCGTGTCACTGCGTATGGGGGCGGGCATCGGATAACTCCTATGGAATCATCGAATCGGGCGGCCTACCAACGATTTTTTTCGCGATTCTTGAAGACTTCGTTACAACACTAACAAATATAATGCACCTAACTACACTCAATCGCCTCTTAAACAGATTCAGATGCCTACTGCGCTCACTGTCTTTTCACTGCGTGGAATACCTTGGATGGACGGCAATACGATTTGCTCAGTAAGGTAACCCCGCGGTCACGCTGGGACAATTTGAGCACAGTGCAATGCTCGGTGCTCGTCACCTGATTCAGTTACCCAGCTGGTGTCACTGCAGATTAACGGACCTTCGGCCCTCAACTTGTTCGTCAGGCAGGATCGCCGGAGGATAGTTTTTGTATCTAACTACCACGGCCACGGCATGACTGTCCCGGACCTGCCTCACTCCCACTGGCCAATCGTCATTTGACTGGTTTGTCTGCAAAGCCACCAGTTCACTCTCCTTTTTCCTCGGTCATAATGTCGCCTGACTTGTTTTGATTGAGCGGTTGAATCATTTTTTACTATGAGCGTTAAGTCCACGTTCATTGAGATAAATATCATATGAAATATAGACCGCAACAGACAAAATTGTTACTGGCAAACTTTTGCATGCAACACAGTTTGTTGGATAGAGGTGGTGCGACAAAATACCATGCAGGACAAAAATCGCCCAGAATAAAGGTCTTAACAGAATGCAACGTTGCGTGCGAGGAAGCCGCACACCAGAGGGCCATCAGAAGTAAAGGTCGTAATAGCGGCGCACATTTCCGGGTGTTTGTGAACTAATTGTTAATACATGCTAAGTTATGAAATTTGTTGTGGATGCAGCTGTCACAGGATGAAGACCGTCTGGTGTAACTAATGAAGGTGCGAGAAGCGACTTCGTCTCGATCACCACCCTAAGCTGAACAAATGGCTGGTGAACGGAGCTGAACATGTGTCTGGTCGGAGGTAGGCGCCGGTTGTAATGCAGCTGGAGCCAAGGATCCAATTTTGTGCTAGAAACCTTCGCTCCAAGGACATCCGTTCAGTGGCGGATCATGACCTGAAATGCTGGTGCCGCTCCAAGGACATCCGTTCAGTGGCGGATCATGACCTGAAATGCTGGTGCCGCTCCAAGGACATCCGTTCAGTGGCGGATCATGACCTGAAATTCTGGTGCGTAGACAGGTTTCTAAATGACAGTGCATCAACATAAGGGTGGGGTGTACGCGATGGAGGTCTCAACCACGCGGCTGTCTGCCGGATGGGCCCGATAACGTCCTCCTATCCGGTCCGATGACGGTCCATTACTGAAGTCCCATAGCATGTGTGCGGCCACCCAAAACCGGTGCGAAGGTACCTCGCAGCTGGGAGGAAAGTTAAATAAAGAGCATGTGGGGTGGGGAGAGGGGGAGGTCTTGAGCCTGCACAGCCCATGCTGCTGCTGCTATTTCTAAAACTCCCACCTTATCTCCATTTAGAGCAAGCGCAGATATGTGTCTTACCTCTGTCCCTTGTGGGCTACCATGCTGTGATTCTATTTTCCGTCATGCAAATGCATTTATTGTTGGCACCCCTTGCCCTGCCCGACCCCCAGCTTTCGGTAGTTTATATTCAATATTCGACTTCGTGCTTATTTTCCTTTCCGATCCGATTTGTAGCACTGAAAATTTTTATCCGGATGATATTATCCAATACAACATTTTTTACGATATTTTGGTTAAGAGCTTTTCCCTCGACATGTTGCTACACGATATTCATCCATGCCAACCTTTCTCCGACGGGATTTATCCCACACGATCTTTTGCTTACATTTCCAAACGATGGGTAGCATGCGATCGTTTATTATGCGTCCTTTTACCTCTGCAATCTTTGTCTCAACACCTTTTGTTGATGACATTTCCATACGATCTTTAACCCTGTGATCAGAACGATTGACAGATGTTAAAGGTGCAGTCTTCAGCAGAGAATGCTTCGAGGTGTGCAGAGGGATGCACGAAGTTGGAAGCATTGAGCACGGCTGCTTTTTGTTTTGCGATAAGTAACTTTGTTCGTTCATGGCGATAACCCAGACACAAAACACAGGAAGCTGGGACCTAGTGCTGAGCGCCTTCAGTCGGTGATCGGGCTGTCGGCCGTCACACGTGTCGGTGATCAGGCTGAGTCACACGTGTCGGTGATCAGGCTGAGTCACACGTGTCGGTGATCAGGCTGAGTCACACGTGTCGGTGATCAGGCTGAGTCACACGTGTCGGTGATCAGGCTGAGTCACACGTGTCGGTGATCAGGCTGAGTCACACGTGTCGGTGATCAGGCTGAGTCACACGTGTCGGTGATCAGGCTGAGTCACACGTGTCGGTGATCAGGCTGAGTCACACGTGTCGGTGATCAGGCTGAGTCACACGTGTCGGTGGTCAGGCTGAGTCACACGTGTCGGTGACCAGGCTGTCGGCCGTCACACGTGTCGGTGGTCAGGCTGAGTCACACGTGTCGGTGGTCAGGCTGAGTCACACGTGTCGAGCTCGGGCCGAACGGAACGGGAGAGCGCCGCCCCGAGAGCCTCCTCTCGCAGCTGGACCAGAGCTCGTCGTATCGAGAGAGAAATATATATATATATATATATATATATATATATATATATATATGTGTGTGTGTGTGTGTTGTGTGTACATTTACCTTTCTATCTATAACCGGGGGTATAATGTGCGCCGGTGCAAATCCGATGGCTGATCTCTCACGTCGGCCGTTCTCGGGTGCCGTGTGGGTCCCCGGTCCCACCTTGGATCCCGGGTCCCATCTTTAATGCCCGGTGCCATCACGAATGGTGACCCCGGTGTGATTCTATGCGCACTATATAAGCATATGCTGGCAGTTCAGGCCAGGACGCCCTGTCTGAGTCAGCGTCCCTGCGGCCCGGGTCAGGCCAGAACGCCCTGTCTGAGTCAGCGTCCCTGCGGCCCAGGTCAGGCCAGGACGCCCTGTCTGAGTCAGCGTCCCTGCGGCCCAGGTCAGGCCAGAACACCCTGTCTGAGTCAGCGTCCCTGCGGCCCAGGTCAGGCCAGGACGCCCTGTCTGAGTCAGCGTCCCTGCGGCCCAGGTCAGCCGGGGCGCACGCAGCACCGCGTTCGACGGTGAAAG